AGTGGTAAGACTCTCCACTCGGGAACCTGAACGCAGCTGAAGATATTTCTGGAAAAATTCAATCGAGTGGAAAAATCTAAGATAGCAGACAAAATGGTCTCTTGTCAATGGTTGTAATCACAGAACAACCTAAGAAATCAAATTAACCAGGCTCGACGAAAAAAAGCAAAATCACCTAAACCCAAAACTGCAAAATCGCCGAGCATAACAAAAGAGTATGTTTTTTCCTATCTTAAAGTAGGAACATACTTAATCAAACACAAATCGGTTCTTTTTAGAACCACAATTTTTTTCCAAATAAATAACTAGGATAAGAAGAAACAATGCAAATAATTTGAGAGCATGTACTATTTTTGAATTTAAGGCTAAACCTAAATAATAATGGTAATAATAAATAAAATGGTATTTTATGTATCTAAGGCAAGAAGTAAGCTGTAATATATCGAGTACATATAAATATAAAGCGAGCGAAGTACTTAATAGGCTTCTGCACCGAAGTAGTTAAACTCAGAGAGACCGGCAAAATTAAAATAATGAAAAACTAAAACATTTTTCATTATTTATTATTTTTAAGTTCATTTTTTTTTTTATTATTTTTAAGTATTTTTCTATCATTAGTATTGACCTAGACAAAGAAATGTAAATGCTCAATAACGAAAAGCATTAAATAATGGTGACTTACTCAAATTAGAAGTCAAAAATCATTTACTTGTACCTACGTGCCCTTACTTTTCTGCTGCGGGCACGCAAAATTTATTTTCGACAAATTTTGTTAATTTGTTAATAAAAACACCATATTTTCAGTATTTCATAAGGGTCTCAGGTTTTAGTAGTAGGAAGATTTACTTTTACATGCCCTTACTTTTCTGATGCGGCACGCGAAATGTATATTCAACCAATTTGGAATATACCGTAGATATACATTAATGTATATTACCGGAATATTTGTTTTGAACATATTAGGTATATTCACCTGCACATATACACAATATGTACATACCTGGCATGTTCATCTGCACATATACCCAATATGTACATACCTAGGATATAACTTTTATGAACGTTGATGAATATACATGCATGTATATTCCACGAACATTCATGTTAGGAATGTTCACCCATGTATATTCCCAGGATATTCCCGCAATGTTCTGTATATTTTTTGAACATTCTGGGATATTCATAGAATATCAAATGCTATCTGGGTATTGCTTTACTTGATGTAATTGTGTTACTACTTGTTTTTCAAAGTAAGTAGTTGATGGTTTATTGTAACAAGTATAAACTAACGCCCGATAGAAATACTGCTAATAGAAAGTAGAAAGCGATAATTTACTCAAAATGTAATCCTTTAAAATTAACAGAGGAAAATGGGCAAACTCGCAGTGAACCACGTACGTAAAAAATAGGTTTTGCCTGTTAAAATGGCACTGGCGAATTTAAAACCAGCAATAAAAATGAAACGGTATGAGATTATATTTAAACAAAATTAATATTGTGCTGAACCTATATATTCTTGTTGGATGTTTGATAAAATTAATTTTAAATATCCCGCTTTATATAGATAAAATAGTTTCTCTTTCAGCTATGCATCAATTCAAGCTTTTGCTCCGCTGGAAAAAGAAGTTCTGACATTTACTCATTTCCGTTTGACCCTGGTTGCCGAGTCTATTAAAGTTACGCACTGTTAAGAATATAATTGGAAGTAAGCCTATTAAAAAAAACTGGAAAGTTTTTATTGATATTATTAGACGGTATTGCAAAGTTACAAAAAGTAGTATTTATATGGACCTACCAAAATGGAAACTGTGTTAGTTTTTTTAAAGCCAACTTAGTAAATTTATTTTATTAATCACGGTAATTATTTGTGAACATTATTTATAATACTTGCAACAGTGAATCAGTATTCAAGCACCAACATCTTTTGAGAGGCAAATTAGTGTTTCTTCAACGAAGTAATTTGTTAAATTTATCATGTGTAGGCCTGTTGTTATAGATAAGTTTGGCAACGCAGGCCTGGTCACGCCTCCAAACCGGCAGTGACGCAGCGCGTAGAATCGATAGCGTGAATGCCGGTTTTAGAAATTCGCGTTCTTTGTGTTGTGATCTCATTCATTTCAGTCGTGACTAGTAAACTTAATTATAACTTGTTAGCATATCGTGTTAGACAGACATTATAATGGCAAACCAAGATACAACTATGGAAAACGGCGAAGATTTCTCCCAGGATGTTACTGGAGATCAAAGTTTAGATCAACATAATGGTGGCGGTGACGCTCCAGTGACCGACAGTGGATCAGCAGATAAGCCCGGCAAAGATGACGATAGGTAGGTTTTTCCGTCTTTGTAAGAAATAGAATTACCCTTTCGGTGTTAAACATTATTAATTGTATTTGTAAGTCGTAGTTTTTATTTGTATGTGCAACCGGCTAATCGACGTTTGAATTCCCACGAATCTTCAAATCGAGCATCATCTGTAAAACGCAAAGATTTATTTGTAATATTTTCATATATTTTAGATTATTTATTTAGATGTTGTAAAATATGTTTGATATTTTTGATTTAAGTATCTTTGGATTAACTTTTGTAAGTAAGATTCAAGGAAAACCTTTTGAAGAAATGGCCGAAGATGCACCTGTTTTGGCACGCCATATCTCGTAGCCTATTCAATTTGCAGTGATATTCATTTCAATAAGGGATCACGTTGCGATAGAATTTTGCCATCCCCGTTAACTTGCTCAGTTAAGAAAGCTAGACTTTGTTCCTAGTAAATAAAGGAACTTCATCTTTGGATCCCAGTAAATTCAGATATACTGTCAAATCCGGTAGTTGGATTCCAGTTTATAGGGTTTCCGAGCTATTCCATTTTAAAAGAAGTTCCTTTTCTCCAGGTGGCTTCTCGTTGGCTATCCAGAAGAACGAGGAGTGTGCTGATGGACAGGCCTCCAGGTGCAGCACCCATGGTATTTATCCTTGGGCACTTCAATTTTGCCACTTTAAATATTCAGTAAAGACCTTTCTTTGGAACATTTAAGTCTTTGCCATTCTAGTAATATTCAGGCGGCAGTTTGTATGATAGTATCCTAATTTTCAAAAAATTTTTTTATGTATTCTGGTGTGTTGTAATCAAATACATTTCTGTTCGCTATGAGCTGTGATTTGACACAATTCAAGTACTATCAAACTCTGCCTAAATTAATCGACAATTGCAACTAAAATTACTGAAATAAAAACGCTACGTTTTCGAAGGAGATGATTTAACCGGTTGCTCTTGTTCGGTTGTTTTTTCCTTTTCAGTTTTTTCATTTGTACATTGGCATTACGGTCAGTTATGAACTTCCAACTTTTGTGTTTAATACGAGTTACAAAAGAATGTGTCCTCAGTTCAGCTTAGAGCCTATAGAATTGTATTTTCAATTTAAGGGCGTAAATATAATTTGTTTAACTACTTTTAAGTGCCGATTGAAGAGATTTGGTATTCAATATTTATCCAATATTGTCAAGTAATTTTTTCCAGAACGTCAATTCCTTTGCAGGCTACCGGTAGATGATCAGAGTAGATGAAAGTGGTGCTTCTTGCATTTGATCCGATCTGGTTTTGTTGTTATTGATGTATTGGTGGGAATGTTGTTGGGTTTCATTTTGATTATGTATAACATGCCACAATTTTTAAAAAATATTTGAAAAAATTCGGATACTATCTACGATTGCTTGCCTTGTTGAAAGTAACATTAGTTTTAACTTTCAGATACAATTTGAGCTTGCCGAAGATTTGAAATTGATCATTTGTTCAGTTTAAATTTAAATTAAGCATTATCATTTTTTGATAAACATTGTTTACGAAGCTACTCAGTCAGTCATTCATATTAACTCCTGTGTTTCTGTTTTGCAGAAAATTATTTGTTGGTGGCTTAAGTTGGGAAACAACAGACAGTAAGTAAAATTAAACTGTTTTTTATTAAGTTTTGACTAAGATTTTTATTCTATTTTGATTTTGAAAAGTAAACACAATTATGTCAATTTGTAGGATGGCTAAACTGAAACACGAGAATCGCTAAAGTCAAATAATTAACTGGAAACTAACTAGAACTGGTCACAAGCAATAGAAATATCGAAAATTATCAAGGGATCACAGATAGTTGTTCATTGTATTATGAAAATGAAAAATTGTCATCTTGAAATTGCTGTGTCGTTTTCATTTAGCCACCCTGTAGAAGCATTACTTATTGCTGAGCTTAAGCAGGTACTTATTGCTGAGTTTTATCGTCAAAAATAATCACTACGCATTAATTCGAAAATAAGCTTCGTATAATACTCGTTTCACTTTCTGTGATTGAGGTACACGCAGCATTTGTTGTATTTTTACTTGATTAACAAATTGGAAAACTGCACGTTATTCTTGATATATAGTTAACTCTTGAAGTAAGAATTAAGAACGAAACCTGTTAAGGCAATTCAATACAATTCTTGTTGGGACCTCGTCGGAAAAAATAATTTGAAAATATCAGAAATTATTGAATTATCACCGCGAACACCGTTGAAGTATTAATATTTTCAATCAATCAAATTGTGATTTCTATTTATTTCATGTTTACTTTTATTATGATGTTTACCAGTTCTGCTTCTGATGGCTCAGAGAAGACACATTTTACCCTTCTGATGTTACATATAATTTTAATTCACATTTTAGAATATATACATATATTTCTAATACCAGATTATCTATTTCCAGAGGAGCTGCGAGAGTATTTCGGAAAGTATGGCGAAATCGAAAGCATAAACGTTAAAACAGATTCGATGACGGGACGATCTAGAGGATTTGCCTTCATCGTATTCCAAGATGCTGCCTCAATCGATAGAGTATCAGCTGCAGGAGAGCATACTATTAACGGCAAGAAAGTCGACCCCAAAAAAGCGAAAGCTAGACACGGTAAAATCTTCGTTGGAGGTATTTCTCCTGAATTGAGCGACGATGACATCAATGAATACTTTGGACAGTACGGAACCGTAAGTATTAATTTTTTACTGATCTTTATTGTTTATAAATATCAATAAGTTATCACAGAGAGAAATGTTGCATGTTATATATGAACCTATTTACATAACGATTGACGATCATTTAACTTGCTTTAGATCATGGAGGTAGAAATGCCATTCGATAAACAAAAGAATCAGAGGAAAGGTTTCTGTTTCATCACCTTCGAATCAGAACAAGTTGTCGCTGATTTATTAAAAAGGCCGAAGCAAGTCATCAAAGATAAAGAGGTAGGTCAAAAAATAATCTCGGTTAGTATGTAAAAATCGGCAGTGTGATAACATTTTCTCAACTGATGATTTTATAACGTTATGTTTATAGATGATTCGTTCGATCCATATCAATAAAAAAAAATTGAGATCCATATTATACTGACGTGCAAACAGTACATATTTTACCCGATTTTTAATCACGTCGATTTGGGATCGCTACGAGCCCGAGCTCAATAGACTGTTTTGTCTTAAGTCACTTGGTAAAATAGAAGTGCAACTAAAGAATTCCAATAAACACTTTTGAAACTTGTTTGAACTTGAGCACTTCTCATCTTCAATTAATAAAGTTTACCTGTCTTGTGGAGACTAAAATCAGTGGAATGTATCTTTGTTAGTACTATCACGGTGTGTTGCTTATGTCAAGCAAATTAGTTATTGTGGGCGTCTGGCCGCAAGGGGACAGCTAGTTTTCACGAATATATCTATCTGTGTACACGAATATATCTATCTGTGTACACGAATCTTTTTAACTGTTAATTCTGTAGAATTACWCCAATTTTAAATTCGGCTAGCTCAAAGCGCGACTGTTCCTTTAATGCTTCTATTATTATGAGGGGATGATCATTATGCACAAGGAGGTATTAACATTTTTCTAAACATTGGAATTTCTCAAATTAAATGTAAGTTCGCCTGATTTGACTACTTGTTTTCAGTAAATATGAAACGCACTATACCAATTAGCCGAATTAACAAGCCTCATAATTTTTATTAATTATTTTACAGGTGGATGTAAAGAAAGCCACTCCAAAACCCGATCAAATGATGGGCCGCGGTATGAGAGGAGGTAGAGGAGGACCAAGAGGAAGAGGAGGTAACTAAACATTGGTTTACTAAAGCAAATGCATGATACAATGAATACAAGGTAGGATCTTGCGTTGTTTTGCGTGACGTCAGTGGAAATCACTGCCTAGCGTGCTTTTTTCCTGTCTGCTAAATGTGATTAAATATAGCTTATTTAGTCTTTGTCACATTTAAATATTTTTTTTATATATCCTCCTTATTACAAGATGCTTTGCAGCGGATTTTAGACTTGGAAATTAAAAGTAACGAAAATGTATTTATTTTGCAGACTAGCACAGTTGCCAGCTGTGCAATAAATTATAGCGTTAGCTAAAAATGTATCCTTGCAGGAATAGTACATTACGATTCACGAGACGGAAGTCCAAACAATGACCCAATATTAATTTCCTATTATTTACGACGGAATATGCGGTTTGTGGTGCCGCGGATAATATGTATATAATTTTAATACAAATGAAATGACTGCACACCGCATTTTTTATATTTCTGAACCGACAGAGTTTCTAGAGTACACTTTCCAAGTACGAATCGCAAAATGCTCAGTTTTGACAACCATGATACAATGAATTAATTTTACGACAATGAATTCATTGTATGAACAGTGCATTCATTCATTGTGATGCAATTAATTCATTATTTCGTTTGGCTCAACCCGATTTCTCAAATGACACTGGCAACACAGCACGCTAAAACGCTGAAAATCGGATATTTTGTAAAGAATTATTTAGAGTATTTTTTCTTCCCAATAAGCCTAAATCAAGTCCCAAACGCAATTTTCAAAGCATTGGGCTATGCAATGCTGCAAACCATATCCTCATATAACTTTCCATTTTTGAACTATTGCGTTTTGAATTCAGTGAGAATTTGTCTAGGTTACATTCATTTTAAATGGGATCAGCTGTTCACTTTACCAAAGTGGTAACCAGCGACGTCATGTGCGCACGAAAATCGAGTTTTCGACCGAGTAATATCCTACCTTGTATTCATTGTATCATGAAGCAAATGTACATTTTCAAACGTGTGAGTTCCTGAGAGTATATTGATTTCTATTCTGAGAACCAACGACGAACCGTTGTCCCACAGTCAACTATAATTTGTTTAAGCGATACGGCTCATCTGTTAATGATTGTAACCATGTAACATTTATTAAACTGTGGTAAACGGAAGTAATAATGTAAACAAGGGAACAGTTGTGCTAATCGCGCACGTCCTGTGCAATGTGAATAAATAATTTATACGTGATCGAATCTCCATTAAAAACCAAGAAGAAAATAATAGTTTGATCTGTGGCTCGAGGCTACATCAATATAAAATTTTATTTTTGTTATCATTTGTTTACAGATTTTCTCATCGTAATTTTTGGACAATTTAAAATCAAAATCCACACTCATTTTAAAACTTTTACTTTGTTTCATAGCATCCCTAAATAGATAATTGTGTTCTCTATTGAATTTATTTTCAAATATGTTTAGGTCGTTTGATAAATCAGTGATTTTTTGAATAAGATATTTTTCGGCCAAAAAAACGGTTTATTTCTCAACATAGTCTCATTTTAGCTCGATTAACTTAGTCCAGAGTCTTGCCAATCGTTCGTTTCAATGAAGACCTGTTGAGGCAGCGGTCTCACAGCAACCACTGTCATCAACTATCACCCACTACCACCGACTAAAATTATGGAATCTGCAACCAACGGTCTCAGCAATTATTCACGGGCTTCCACTGTTTACCAGTTTATAACCTCATTTTTTATTAAAGTGCCCAAGCCAAGCCGATATCATTTCTAACCCGCATGCGCGCATTCACCGCCTTCTACCAAACTAGCAAATTTCGAAACTGGTTAGCAGTGGATGACTAACAAAGCTTTATGTGAGACCGTTCAATGGGAATTGCATATGTTAGAAATCTGCTTGATAGTCACCGGTGGTTCTGTGGGACCGCCGCCTTATGCAGCGGTCCCATAGCAACCACTGTCGTCAACTATCACCCACTACCACCGACTAAAATTATGGAATCTGCAACGAACGGTCTCAGCAATTATTCAACGGCTTTCACTGTTTACCTGTTTATAACCTCACTTTTTATGAAAGTGTTCAAACCAAGCTGATATTTCTAAATCGCACCAAACCACCAAACTTATAACGCGTCCGAAATTTCGAAACGGTGGTTAGCAGTGGAGAGTGGATGACTAGTGAAGCTTTCTGTGAGACCGAGAATTACAATGGGAATCGCATATGTCGGAAATCTGCTTGAATGGACACCGGTGGTTCTGTGCCACCGCCGCCTTATTGGACTCAAATCTCTTACCGCCCAGCTATTTCTTCAGAATTGGAAACAGGAAATAGTCGTAGGGGTTAGATCTGGAGAGAATATGGTGGGTGGTGTAGCAGTTTGTAGCCTAATTCATGGATTTTTAGCATGATGACTTCAAGGGTGTGCACCCGTGCATTGTCCTAATGAAACGGATTTTTTTTTTCGTCAAATACGGCCGTTTTAGCTTGCAGTCAACATCAAATCTGTACAAAAGCTCTGAATAATATGCACCTGTGATCGTTTTACCCTTTCAAGGTAATCGATGTGAATGACACCGCGTGCATTCCAAAAACTGGCCATCACCTTGTTGTCCGACAGACCCATTTTGGCCTTCGTTGGTGCACGTTCACCTGAAGAAATCCACCGTTTTGATTGTTCTTTGGTGTGTTGTTATGGATCCACGTTTCGTCAACAGTTACGGAACGTCGCAAAAACTCGCTCGTATTCGGACGGAACATCCCTAACATTAATTTGAAACGTTCACACGGGAGCGCTCGCTTTTAGTCGAGTGTCAGCAGTTTCAGTACCCATCGTGCAGATAGCTTTTTTATATCTAAATGTTTATGTAAATGGTATGTACCTTCTCAGTTAGATGCCTACAACCTCAGCCACCTCACGCACTTTTATTCTCCGATCATCCAGTATCGTTCCATGGATTTTATCGACGAACTATTGAAATCGATGGTGCAGAGTCCCCAGAGTATTTATCAGGCTTTCTCTTCGTTTCGGTGTTGTGTTTTTAAGTAAAAATAGTGCTTGATCATTCTTCGAAATTCACTTTTTTATTTTATTCGAAATTCACGAAGTCATCTTTCAATGACTGTTAAACACGAGCTCAAAAGCTCAAAATTTCACAGCAGCCTACTAACAGATTACAGTTCACGGAAGTGGTGTTGCATTTAGGGATCGGAATCGAGCTCGAATAATTCGGGTATTCGAATATTCAAAAAGCGAATAATTATGCCTAGTCATAATTCGAATAATCGACTACTCGAATGCTCGGCTACACCAACATTATCAAACTCACAACGTGCAAATATCTTTTTATTCGAATGAACCTCTCAGAAGCGATTATCAAAAAGAAGCACTTTTCTTTACTGTTCATTTGTTTTACTTTTACGTACGGACTTTTACTCACATGTGCGCAAAAGCAAATGTGACAAATTGAATGTGTCACTGTCATAAAATGTTTTAAAGTATTTTCATTAAAAAGTTACCGACAGGCTTTTTTAATGAATTACGTAGGTGTATAGTGAACTATTCATATCATGTCATAATTTAAAGTTTACTTACAATTTGTAAATTATAACTTTATTATTACATTACAAGTTCATTTTCAGACTCGTTCAAATGTTTTTTTTTTGCGCTCGCCGATGTTGCCACAAGCAAAACACGATTTTTTAAAACGCAAATTTTATGCGAAATATGCATCTTATACAAACACCATACCGTGATAGCAGCACTTGATTTTTCACACTCATTATACCACTTGTATATGCTTACAAAAGTACGCTTTTGAAAAATTACAAACGTCAGAACATGACAATTTCAAAAATGGCATTGACATCAAATTTTAAATATGAAGTTGACGGATTTTATTTTTGGCTATTTTATTCGGCTATTTTGTCCTCAACTTCGTCTCGGGTGTCAAACGTCGTCGTCGTTCGAGAAACGACACTTTTCGCCCTTGTATCGAAAACTGCTATTATACAGGGTGTCCCGTAAGCTCATGATCAAAAGGGTACTGCGATATTCTTTGGACCAAAAGAAGACGATCTCACCTAACTTTTATTAACAAGAAATGTCTGGCTCCTATGCTATTGATGGTCAAAGTTCTTCAAAAAATTTATCTTTTTTTGAAATATCGAGAGAATGGTGCGATGTATTTTAGTGAAACTCGCTGTGAATTTGTTCTTATGTAAAACTCATATTTTGATGAAACAAATGAGTTCATCCGTTTTGGACAAGTGGTGAATTCTGGAGTGTCGTGGTACAAAAACTACCAGAACTTTTTATTTGGTTTATGGAATCAACTCATTTTTTTGGTTGATGTACTAATTAGTGATTCACAATTTTATGCTCTTTGTAAAATCTTGTAGCATTCATAGTTTTCGCGAAAATATATATAGTATAGCCACCCTATATATAGTATCTTTATGTTTTTGTTTCATAATTTATCTCCTTTCTTCAGTGTTGTTTTCTTTGGTTGCATCATCAAATGTAAAATACTTGTTTCACTGTGAATATTTTTATATACGGGGTGGTTTTTTAGTGCGATAGAGTTCATTATTTCCGTTGGTGTTGAACTTTCGAAAAATAGTTTCATATAAAAGTTGTTGACGCACAAAATGCGCACATTTTAAAAATATCCTATGTGATATATAGATATATGATACAGAGTGTCTCAGAAAAGCGAAGCAAGATCAAAGTGTATTTTTTTACATAGAACTACCCATTTTTGATTAGCTCGTAGAATGTAGCTTGAAACACTGGATATGCACCGTAATTTGTTTTTTTCTTACTTGCAACGTTGGCAGATTATCGCCATTTTAGTAAAATTTTGCTTAAAAACATGGCATCTAAAAATTCATTGTAGAAGCAAAAAAAGGAGTTAAAGAGACATAAAAAATATGTTTTTCCAATCACCACAGATCCGTGAAGAATTCTATTGAACCAAAATATCAATACATTGTACAGGGTGTGTAACAATGTGGACTTCAATCTAAAACTTTTTAACGCAATATAACTTGTTTTTCAAATGGAAGTACTTGTATATTAATACGTCATTAGATAGACAATTTACAAACTTACAAATTTGCATTTACACTTTACGCTGTGAAATCAACCGTTTTGAAATTATAATTCATTTAATTTAAAAATTTCAAAAAGTTGCTACATTTTGTAAGATGGCTCTGGAAGTCAATAAATAAGTGTCAAAATTTGAATTGCCACGTTTAATTGATCATTTACCTAATTACATCAAGGAAAGAATGTGATATTAACATGATGAAGCTCCAGTTCAACATACAGCATTAATAAAGCATACAGCTCAAATTCATGGGTACCTACATAATTAATTTCCTGAGAGGTGGTCCTGTTCAGTGCCCACCTCGTTCATCCGATTTGACAAAAATGGATTTCTTTTTATGGGCTGACGCCAAAAACGAAATTTATAAAATAACTCCAACCACAAAAGATGACATGAAGGAACGAATTACAACTGTTATTCGAAGCATTAATAATATTGTTTTAAACTGCGTTAGCGATTCATTTCAAAAACGTAGATATTAATAGTTTCTTAAATGTTAGCGGAAATAATATTGAACATTTATTTTAAAATATCACTAGGTATAATTTTATATTTTTCTTTTTATAGACGTATGAACGTATGTTTTTTTTCTATGAAATTCCATGTTTTTTATAAAACGTTGCACTTTTCTTTATTGATTATATCAAGTATCATTAAATCTTGACACTTATTTAATGAATTCCATAGCCACCTTACAAAATGTAACAACTTTTTTAAAAAATTTAATAAAATAATTTATAAATCCACATTATTAACACCCTGTACAATGTATTGATATTTTGGTTCGATAGAATTCTTAACGGATCTGTGGTGATTGGAAGGACGTATTGGAATTCGGAAGGTTTTGTGCAAATTCATCTTGTCGCTTGCTTCTCTTCGAAATTAACTTTGTCGTACAAAAGTGGTCCAAAGAACAAAAATGTGTTTTTCTCGTCAACGAAATGAGCTAAGTAACTTTTGAGCTCTCAATCGTCGTTTTTACTGGAATTTGGCAGGTTTTGTGCAAAGATAATCTAGCAACGCCTGCAAATGAAAATAAAATTACGTCTCTGTGTTCTGGTAACTCGCGTCATCAATTTTTTCGCCGTGTTACAATTAATGTGCCGACGAAGGCACTTTTTTATCCGTTGCGGCTAGTTGCCAAAAATGATATGAGATAACGATTTTTCTTCTTGGAAAGGGGTGAACGGAAAACGAATACTCGATATGCAATACTCGAATTTCCGTTAGATATTAGAGTATTCAAATTTTTTAAATTCCGAGCACTAGTTGAATTTAAAGTTATTGCGTGGGAAATTCCAAATGTGACTGACTTATCAAACGCCCCTTGTACTTATTTAATTGACAATTTGTACTCGCGTGTGACATGGGGGAGGATAATCTAAGTAAATAATTGCGAGTTCAACTACCGGTGGTGGTGCTGCGGAAAGTAAAATTACTCATTGTCGAGTGACAGTTGAGACTTGTCGGGCTTGTTTATTTATTGGAGTTGTTAACAAAAAATACGTATTTACTTTTCAACCTGTTTCTATTTCTTTAAAAGCTTGCATACGTTGATTAGAACAAAACAAATTACAATCAGTTGTAAACACCAATGTCAACAAAACAAGTGTAAATTTACTACTTAACTTGTAGTTATAATTTTAGCCGCGGGTGTGTGAACTGGGCGAATTGTCGTAACCTTTTTTGTCGAATTTCTCCATTACTAACTCCCTCTCCATTACAAACTAACAAACTTTTTTTTAAATATACCCGTAAAAAATGTTCCAACTTAAAAAGTGCTTGTAATTCATCTCGTTAACAGCCTTTCTTTTTACGAGAAAACAATTTTTGTAACCATTGGTCCATTACACGTGGTCCACAAATCTGCGATGCGGCTATTCATATTTTATTTATTTATTCCGCTTGTTAAAAACACCAAATTTTATATTTTTTTCAAATTTTGTAAGTGGCTTGTTTGATATCAATTTTAATTAGAAAATGATATAGTTTAAACCATGATGAATCAAATTGTCAGTTCTGCTTCTGATGGTACAGAGAAGAAACTTTTACCACTTCTGATGCGCATCGACTTTTAAATCATCACATGCGTAGCTTATTTTCTATTTTGTTATTATTCCCGTTTCAATTTGCAGGTCGTGGCTTTGGCCAAAACTGGGGTCAAGGTGGTTATGGATATGGCAGTTACAACCAAGGCTATGGGTATGATGGTGGTTACGGTACTGGTGGTTTCAACGACTATTATGGCGGTGGATATGGTAATTACGGCAACTACGATTATTCAGGATATAGCGGAAACTACGGTAAATACCACAATTATAAAGAAAAATTCGCTCAATCATCTCATCAAATGGTTAATCACGAAAATTAGAATTTGCGAGTTAATTGTTCCGTGAATCACGGGATATGTTTTCAAAGGCACTCTAACACGGGATATGTTTTACGTTTCCATACGTGTTTGATTTTATCATTTGCTGCTTTTGTGAAACAGATTCCAATAAATAACCATCGACGCATATTTGGCTTTAATTTTGTGATTGTATTGTGAATTGTAATGTCCCACACATCTCATGTGTGCCGTGTAAAAGATACGTGTCTGAACTGTTCGTGTTAGTTCTTCAGATTACAATTTTCAGTTTGTTTTGATCGAACGATATTATTCAAATTGTAATTGGTTGTAACTTTTATGCAGACCAAGGATATGGTTATGAAGGAGGATATGGTGGCGGACGCAATAATTCTCGCGGAAAAGGTATATTACCGAGTTGTGACGTTTGATAACCTTCATGCATGCAAAAGATGCGTTTTCCATAATACGAAAAATCTTCTTAATCGTTAAGTGTTGAAACCGCACCTTTTCAGTGACCTCTTTAGCTTTAATTTTTAGTAAGTCCACTTTGGCAACTCACTACTATAAACCAAGTTGAATCTTCAAACTTGCTGGTAGATTAGTAGTGGTAGACAAGATCACAGGCATGTTTTGCGTAGTAAATGTATTTACCGCTTACCAATATATCTGATTCCGTTCTTGTATGTTCAACTGCAAGTATTTACGTCAGAAATGTGCTTGTATTTTAAATTGTGTCGTACTTTTTGAATCAGGTTAGAATGGTACATTGAAGTAACATATTTATAGTTTCATATTTAAATATCTCTAAACGGTGATCGCACATCCAACATTTACTAGTGTTAGGTTTTCTTCCCTGATCGGCAAACCGCAGATGTGGATTTCGTTTTCATTTTACCTTAAAATATTTTAAATTGCTTCGGATTGAACAGCACTTTATCTGTTCTCTTTGCAATTAATTTCCACTTCTTTTAAACTCGAAATGGCTACTGACTTTAAAACTTGGCACACCTACCTGCATTATCTAGCTTCAAGACCTGTAGGATCTGTAAATATATACAGGGTGCTTTACAATTGGTGTGTCAGTATTATGTAGTCTGTGTTCAGAAGGTTAAAGTTGACCTTCGCCCTGTTTTAACATCCAGTTCAATATTTTATGGTGGTTTTCTATGCCCAAGTTATGCTTTTGAAAGAAATACATTATTTCTGTTGGAACTTTTTTCCTTTTAAATTTCATTAACGAAACACTTCAGTTAAAAACGTTTTCTGCTCTTGTCAAAGAATGAAAGAATTTTCGAGTTATTTGAAGAAGGTTTTAGAAGAAAATGTTTAAAAAAATCCGAATCATTAGAATCCGGACCTCGGAAAGATTTGGAACCCGTAGTCGGGATTCGGATCAACCGATCAGAACCAGAGCCATAGAGCATAGGCACACTCCAAATTAGAGGTAGTGACGTCACAAACAAAAACGAGCGTTTTCGCGATTAATACAAAATAGAAAGATAAAAATGGGATAATTTCAGTCAACATTTAATTTATTGCAGAAATAACGTTTTTTTTCGGAAGGAGCAGACGTGTACCTACATTATGTAAGGGTATTTCAAAGTCTGTCATGACTTACACTAGTTTATAAACGGTTCTTGAACATACTACTCTAATCTGCTGTTATAATTTTTGACATTGTATAATTTATCAAACCTTTCCATGACAAACGCTTATGTGCTTATGGCATAATGCTTTTAAACAATTTCACTCGTATCTGTTTGCCTGACATTGGTAAACATTGCTCGTCTTCGCCTGTTAAATTACGTTTATACTTATTATTGACTATTGCCGCACTTTATTCTAAATGACAAAATCATTGCAAGCATGCAGACCGGCTCATCTAGCTAGTTATTATTGGCAGCATCCATTTTTTTTGCATGGTAGTTTTGCTACCGTTCCAAGATATTGGAATGTACATATTTTCAAAGTCAAAAACGTGAATTCTGCTTTTCAGCACGTGTAGATCCTAAAAGGCCAAAAAACTTTAGCAAAGAACAATATTTTGAATAAATAAAGTTTCAAACTCGTACAAGCTCAAACACTCAAACAGAACAACTTTACTGTAAGTAAAAACATTATTTTTAAGAGTGACGCAAATAGACGTGACTTTATAGTTAGAGAGCTTCTTTACATTAGAAACATTTTGGAAGTTATATTATGCTCTAAGCTGTATTGTTCCAGTTCAGGTTAAGCAATAGCATTTTTTTTCGTGCCGCAAAGTTATAAATTTTATTATTTTCGTAAATGCCAACGATGGAGCCTAAGAACACACCATTGTTTTTGTTATCCGAGTTGCGCTGGGGTCTTAAGAAGAACACCATTGGTTTTCGTAAAGTTAATGTACTTGCTTAGTTAATACCCCGTTCGCCTAAATCGTTTGTGCAAAGTTGAAGCCAAACGCAACAAATGTATGTGAATGTATTAGCGTAGTTGCAGCAATCGTCTTGAAGAACACAACTAAAAAAAATAGGTTGTCTCTAACCAAACAGGACAGTACATTCAGTGGTGTGTGGCTCCGGTGGAACTTAAACGTTATTACAAAGTGATGATTAAGGCATAGTGAGTAAATCAGATTAAATATTGAAATTTTTATACTGCTTTCTGTTTTCAGGTGGTTCGAGTGGTGGAGGCTTCCAGGGTAAAACCAGGGGGGCGAGCACTAGCAGAGTGAGTAACCAGAGGCATCAGCCTTACTGAGACAACGTTGGATACTAGTATTAAGTAAGTTTTGTATGTATTGTTAGCTTTTATTACATAACATATAAGTATGTACCTTTCATAATATCATTTTGTCACGTTACTATTATGTATAATGTCGACTTCACAGATTCACAATATTTTTTTTTGTTTCAGGTGTTTCCTAAATATCCACGTAAAATAGTCATTGTTTCCTTGAAGTCATTCCACATCTAGGAAAATACTTGTACAAATCAGACCCGACAACTTTTTACGAGTAGTTTAGAGACTGTTCATAAAAATTATTTTAATTTTGTAACACTATGAATAGACCTTCAAGAAAGCTAGACATGCAATTACACAGCCATGTCTTTGAAAATATTTTGTTATTTTTATTAACTTTTTTGGTTTATTTAAAACGCGTAAATCGAAAAGTGAAGTGATTTTCATCTCTATCAATAGTGAGACAGTGGACTCTATAATTTTGTACAATATTGCATATTAGTAATATAAAATTAGTCAATAAACACTGATATGGATGTGTAACATTAAAATTAATCCAGAATGGTGCAATCTGCTGTTGCACTGGCAAACATGTTTTGTTTTTGATATTGTTTGATTATTTTATGAACTTAATGGTAGCCATACTCTTTTAAATTTAAGATAAATGTAAGTGAGCGTACTTCCGTTGTGTGGCAAGGATTTATTTAATAAAGATAGGTGAATGAATATGTTTGTCTTAATCTTCATTTATAATGAAAATTTACATGCATTTTCTGAATTTTCATCTACTACTATTCTTTAACTTATTTGAATTTTCACTGGAACTGGTTAGAATGTAAAAGTTAGCAAAATGTGCTTCCGATGATTTTAAGAAGTGTAATATGAGAACGTCTGATTAAATACATATTTTGAAGTAAAAACATGCGCGAACGTCTGAAAGTCCCCAACCGTCAGTTTTCTGCTCTGATGATTTGTGTTTTATTGAAGTAAGAATTTCACATTGCGAACATTATTCATTATTTCCATTTCTTAGTGTCATCTAGTATCGTTACTATTTTGTTTTCGTTCTACATGACTAAATAGAATATTCTAACCCTTCTAGCCAGCTCATCGCGCCCTCCAAAGAAACAGTGGTCTCAACAACAGTAAAGTCACCATCTAATGTACAGGGTAAAAATAGAAGACTGGACTAGACTAGAAACGCTAATCCAACTGACATGTGGGGCTGTGATTCCCCGTCTATGGGTGATCTTTTATATTTACCTCATTAGTTTCGTTAAATTAACACTAATAACTATACGAGTCAAAAATTGGGTAAACTTTGTCAAGTAGCACTACTATACAAGTATTGTTTAATGTTTAGTTGGCTAGTTTGATTTGTGCTTTGTTGCTCAATGAGTCACCGCATTTGACACACTAGTTTTAACTCTGCTCTTTATTTGACTAACGTATAGAACAATATTTTTGTCTCGATAAATTCTTCCTGTTAAAGGACATTAACGCCCGTAGTACACTATGTTGACCATTGCATTATGGTACCCAAATCTCCAGCGACCTTTTTAGTAAGACAATAGTTTATTTAATTATGTCAACCCTTTATACTTTGGGTCTTTATATATTATGTATGTATTTATTAGGGAAATAAATTATAGCATACATATTTATAATTTATATGTAAATGTTACAGTATGTATATTGGGTATTTACTAAAATACTACAATGTTATTTTTTAGGTACTATACTACTTACTGTTCCAATAAATGCATATTATATTAATACTGTATCTGTATTGAAAAAATAAATCCATGTGTCATCTGAGGCGTTAAATGTATTTCTAAACACAAAAGTTTCATACCACTTTTACTTTTGAATAAATGGCTGAGACAACAAAGTGGAATTTATGTCCTAAAAAATCAAATTTTATTGGCACTTTGCAGTACAAAACTACAGCTTCCGGGCAGAACTTCATTCAACGTCTTTTCTTTTTTTCCACTTTTCTACCTGCTCTATGGTAAGGTCTGCGAGGTGTGTTTTGCGGGGTGTTTTGATTTGAACTGTCGTCTTCACTTTCCTACAAAATCAAAATATTCTTGTAAGCTCTTTACATATGTAATGTAATGTATGTACATTTCTTAGAGTGAAAGCAACTTTATAATTTTGTCATCATTATAAATTGATTTGATTGAATTGATCATCATAAATTGAAAAATGGGTTGGATATCTCACATTTTAACGGTTATCAATAATCGTATAAAATCTATACATAATTAAATAATGTATGCTATTTTATTCAATAATTGTATACATCTTTTCAGACGAAGACGGCGCCTTTTAGAAAAAAATGACTGCACTGAGGACGCTGTTTGAGTCAAAAGCCCAAGTCTTTTCATTAGAAGTAACTTCAAACTTCCCTAAAAATGTGTGTTGTGTTTCGTCATTGTACAAATAAATCAATGTTTGGAAATTAAGTAGTTTAGATTCAGTCAAGTTTACTCCTAAACATTGGGCCTTATTTATCTTTATGGTACGTACATTTTGAAATACATCTGTCAGCACTATTTGGAAATCTGCGTGTGTTTTCCGAGGGTTTTCGGAAGACTCTAATCCTAATGTAATTAATTAGAGTTTTCTAATGGGATTCCGAAACTTTCTAGTGCTCAAATTCAAGTCAACATTTTGGATCAAAACTAATTTACGTTTTTGAAAAACTAGAAAATGTTCATCTACATTCACACAGGTTTTAGACTTCGTCGTGGATAAAACGTTAAATTATAGTCAATAATTTTAAAAGTTACGTTTTAATTAATCAATTTTTTATCACTTAACCATTGTTACAATTCGGAACAATCAGCGTCATTTACTGCCCGAAGGCTGGTGCAAATGTTGTCTGGTTCGTAGCTTAGTTGGTAGAGCATTACGACGGAGTCATGAAAGCCGCAGGTTCAATCCTGCCAAAAGCATTTTTCTTATTCCAAAAATTATTTATCTGCTTAAGCCGCGAAAAATTGCATTTATTATTAAGAATGTCTGATGCGACGTGCAAATATTAAAAAAAAGGTGTGCAAGGAAATTTAAACAGGCTTAAGTCTTCCAATACACTTTTTGTATTTGTGCATTCCCTACGAAAATAATCAAGGTTTAAAATGTCCTTCATAGTTTTGGCATAATACTTTTTGACTAATATAATATAATAATAACATAATATTAGATAACATCTTAGTAACTACTCATGATCTATAATTGTTAGCGGGAAACAAAATAGAAACTACTCGTATAACATTAGGGGTTCAAAAAATGACAAGTAAATCATTTGTAAATGAACAGAATAGCAAACAAAAAAAACCGGTGTGTTAATTTCGTTCAACCAGTGATCGCCGATTCGATAATTGATTCCAAACTTTAAATGGATTTACGATTGCTCCTTCCACTTGAAATTACACGAAGTCCGCCGATATAATCAAGATTTATCGTATGTGAATTATAAGATCAGTTCATGAAATATTGGGGGTTTCAATTGATAAAGTCGTATTAGTAGATTTGAAGAAAATAATTGTAATCTAAGCCTAACGCGCAGAAGTCTTAGCCCCGGTTGCACCGTTTTCGCTTTAAACACTGATTACATCTTAACCGGTGTTTAAAAAAATGTGTTGCACCGTCGCAAACTAATCGTCTGTTACTTAATCAGAGAATCACTATGGCACTCCGCTTTTTGGGCTTAGGTTGCTATCTTCAACGCGG